TGTAGAATACCACCTACACTGGACCACCACGTATGAAATATCTTTTTCATGTAGTTCAGACACAAACCACGACAGCTTATTATAGAATACTACCTACACTGGACCACCACGTTTGAGATGTCTTTTTCAGGTAGTTCAGACACAAACCACGAGAGCTTATTGTAGAATACTACTTACACTGCACCACCTCGTTTGAGATGTCTTTTTCAGGTAGTTCAGACACAAACCACGAGAGCTTATTGTAGCATACTACTTACACTGCACCACCTCGTTTGAGATATCTTTTTCAGGTAGTTCAGACATAAGCCACGGTAGCTTACTGTAGTTAATCTCTCTTCCACAGGAATTTTCAGCTGATGTAGTGAAGAAGTGTGGCGAAGATGGCTCAAAGATTGTTGGCTTGTCATCTTCGGTTTGTGCCATGATATTTTGTCATTGTACAAACATTTTAAATAGGATAGATATATTAAGATTGGGTATAGGGTACTTTATCACAGCCAAAATACTTTGATTAACACTGACGCCCGTATTCTAAAAGCTCACTCACACTCAATGAGCGGAGGTTCAATCTGAGCTTTTCTTGAGTGTCAATGCTGTTTTTGAATAGCTGGAGGGTGAGTAGTCACATGGTGAGGTACGACACTTACCCTCCAGCTATTCAAAAACAGGATTGACACTCAAGAGAAGCTCAGATTGAACCTCCACTCATTGAGTGTGAGTGAGCTTTTAGAATACGGGCGTTAGTATAGCAATGATATCATTTAGTTATGATCCAGTGATTGAAATATTTTGATTGTCTTTTTGTTGTTTTGAGAATCCCACTGTTCTCCATGCCACCCAGTCACTGTTTTGACTTACTAAACATTTGTACAAAGGGCTATTAAGACAGGATGGAAGGATCTTCCTATAAATATTAATACTGAGTATCGTTTTTCAACTAAATATCAATACTGAATATCATTTTTCAAATACAGACATTCGCAAAAAGTATGAGCGATATATTGAACAAGATGAAAGCAAGTAGAGTTGTGAAAGTCGGAGGAAACCTGAAAGATTATTCGCCATGGTTGTCGACTTTTCAAACACGAAGTGAGACGTATCAATTGGAAATACCAGGTAAGTTTTTTATAAATTGATATTGGGGTTTGTACATTGATAATGTTCAGTGGCGCTGGGAGGGCATACTTATAGACTCATTGCACTGACGTCACAAATCTTTAGAGTGCCCTCCAGATGCTCCCTAACAATATCTGTTCGCGTACAACAACCACATACAGCGCAAAAATTAACCATTTTGATACAAAATTATTATAAACTTTTACAAAATTTGCTTTGTTTACAAAAGTTGTATTACGCATAGATTGCTAATTTGTCCTCCAGATGCATCGTCACCGGCGCTGTGACGTCATGTGCAATGGGTCTATATTGCTCTTTTTATAAAAAAATATTTTGATATTTATCACAAATCAGAAAATATAGGAAATGCAATCGTAGTGATTCAAACCCAATACTTCTTTGGCAAGAATTTTCTTTCCTACCAAAGATTGTGCAAACATCTTGTACTAAAACAATTTTAAGTTTAGAAATTTTTCACTTTCTTCAGGTCAATACACGGGGAGAAACAAACCACTTCCAGAATATCACGTAAAAATAGCTGGCTTTGATGAGAAGGTGAGAAATTAAGAGAATGCATCGGTTTGTGAATTCATTGACTGCCTGGTTGATTGGTTGACGAATACACTAATTAAACATTAATTAATTAATTGATTCATGAATTGATTGATGATGGATTTGTTCATTAAATTATTGATTGATTAAATTATTAATGAAATAATATTTATTGATTGATATGACTGGTATCATTGGTTCGATTGATATGGTTGATCAATTGACTGGCTTCTTCATTAATTGATGATATATTCATTAAATTATATACAAGGTGCTAAAACTGTCGTCGCTGAGAGCTCCAAAACGCGTCACCATCCTTGGTAATGATGAACGGGAATATAAGTTTCTGGTCAAAGGCGGTGAAGATCTCCGCTTGGATCAACGAATACAACAGGTTAGAACAACGCCATATTTAGGAATGACAGTTGATTTTTTAAAGTACGTATGTTATTATAGACAATGATCCCGTTGCATAATCACATATAACAATAATGTGATCACGATACAGTGATCGGAATATTCCATTGTCTTTTCATTGTTTTGAAAATCTCACTGTTCTCCATGCCAGCCAGTCATGATCCAGTGATCGGAATATTCCATTGTCTTTTCATTGTTTTGAAAATCTCACTGTTCTCCATGCCACATGATCCAGTGATCAGAATATTCCATTGTCTTTTGAACTCTTTTCATTGTTTTGAAAATCTCACTGTTCTCCATGCCATCCAGTCATGCCAGTCATGCCAGTCATGATCCAGTGATCGGAATATTCCATTGT